AAACATGATCTGTACCGTTCACGGGAGTGCCCTTGCTTTGGCGGGGGGATTGTTCTAACCTGAAAACTCCCACATGTCGGGTAACTGCAAAGAAGGGGTGCCTACGGATCCGTTCCCTACCCTCTACTGATGAAACATGAAACATGACCGATTATCAATCGAAGTTTTTCGATTCTCGTGTCAGGATACACCAGCGGAGTCCTCTGAAAGGGATTTTGGAAGGCGTAGCAACTTTAAACGCACTGCAAAACATTCTGAGCCGTAAGGTATTTCATCTGCTTTATAATGTCTCTGATAACCCTTAAGTTTGTCGCACAACTTGCGCGATCTGAGTATGCGTCTACTGTGACCTGTGTGATAATTTGATGCCTAATTGCAGATTGTTTCTTAAGATTTGGTTGATCTCTCATTTTCATGACCCTGCAGCGCATGGAAGTTTCGTGCCTATATACAGATCCCCGATTTATTATCGCGGCAATGTGCATGCTGAAGCGTCTCATACATTTTTAGTATTTCTATTTGTCCCATGGTTTCGGACACGCAGGCCTTGGCTTCTAAATACCTTTGGCCAGCCATTCCGCGTAAATTATTAACGGAGATATCCATCCTTGCATAGTTTTCCTCCGCTCTGCTGCACTAAATCTGAGTCCATTTGAAGAGCGTTCTCACACAGGTTCGTTTGCGACCAATTGGAAGCTGCGCTTATAAGAACTGAAACTACCTATGGCAAAAACGCTCCATCTGTGAACGTGCTACCTTGTTTATGGCGCGCAAGCCAACCCGATATACTTCGCAGTGTGATTCAAAAACTATGAAGAGGAACGAGCAACTGTATTGATAAACTGAGAAGAAACGAGAATGCTGTTATGCCCGCTGCAATTACTCGGAATCGGCCATTCTCCATGGTGTGCTGTAACAGAAATTAATTCGTTTCACGTTATCCTAGTCCCCTAGAGCAGAAGCCAGTGTGTACGTGAATGACGAAAAAATGATTCTTTCGTCATTATAGCCGTCCTTAATTGTGCCAATGTTTCCAAATCGAGCCAGTTCAAGAGCACGATAACTTAGTTATTCAGCACGCGCTGGCTGCCTGCGAGTTGTTAGAATAGACGCTTATTCATACTGACGGCTTTGCGCTACTAAAGAGTTACTTTGGGAAACTACAGTGTAGCAGTCCCTTATATGTTTAAGCTCAGCCTAAACGGGCCAGAAAATAAAATCTCCGAAAACGACGGTTACCTACGTCATCGACAAAAAGTCTGGTTTGGTGGCCAGTTTTACTATCTGGGGTTGAAAGTGTGGCCAAAGGTAGATCTCCCATCGGATCGCGTTAAATATTTTCCTTTTTGGGACCATGTGAAGTTTTTCTGAAGACTACGCTCAAGGCTGTTCTTCTGCATGAATTTGGCACATTATTCATACGCTCTGAAGATATACACCACCTGCAATTAGTACCTCGGTAATATCTTCCTTGTGTTTTCCGAGTTTGAAAGAGAGAAATATGCTTTATTTTGAAGGTAACATCCAATTTTTTTTATCAAAATGGGTCCATTTACTGAGACCGAAAGATAAATTAATAAAATTTTAAACAATCTAGAGGTTTTCATGAAATCCAAATCTATAATGGAGACAGGTCTAGTCTCAGATTCTGGATTTCCGTTTCTTTACACGGGAGGTAGCGCGCAAGAAATGGGAGTACAGAGTGATAATATGTCAATGTATGGCAAGACATTTATAGGAGGCTTCGGAACATGGTACGGAAGACCTCGGAGCCATTAATTCGGACTGGAGTGGATGACCAACCTCATGAAGAATGCGATCAACAAATTGCTTGACCGTTTTGAAGTGTGACTGTATTGTAATATCAGCTAAAAGTGTAAGAAACACCAGCAACTAAAGAGAGCATTCGTAGGATACGTTAAAAAATTCATAGACCTTTTTTAAGTAAGGTTGGAAAAATAACCGGAGAGCAGTCGGCAATGAGGGGGAAAATGCGAGCACCTATAAATCGACAGATTAGGGCTTGACGTGTGTGATGTGAACGTAACTGACGGATATAATATTGAAGTTTAGGAATTTTAGTGAAAATGGTTTCACTTGGAAGAGAAAATGTAAGATTGGATGTCAGAGTAACACCAGCGTATCGGAACGAGTATACCTGATTGGAGGATGTCTCAGGTTTCAGGACTGAGAGAGGTTCGCAATCGGAAAACGCACTGGACTGACTTCTGGTTATACTCTAGAAGACCACTGGCTAACGACTACGCTGAAACGTGGTCCAGTTCATCTTCCAGTACCTGGAGATGTGCTTGACTTTTGAAAGGATGACCAACAACCACCTCATCAACACATTTTACATACCAACATTCGTTTGGCGATTGTCGGTTGTCAGTGTGGAGGGTGAAGTGGTGAGGGTATAAGATAGACCCTTGAGGAACTCCGCAGTTATTGGGAAAGACCGTGGATTTTTGCTTCCGAGTTCATGTCTGCCGTCTTGTCTTCAGCAACTGTCTGTACAGCATGTCAGGAATTCAATCCGTCATATATGTCATTATTAGTCTTGTGGTAACTCTTCCAATTGTTGCGTTTGCATGGAGCCATGACATCGGGAACCGAACCTAATTGTGGCTGGTTAGAGTGTTAAAATGGCTAATTAAAAAGTAATTCAACGTGGTTTTTATGCGGACGGAAATTTCCGAAATTCTTGAATTTGCGCATTAGTAGGGTTGATTGTACCAGCCCTCCTGTGTATCCGGTTGCCAGACCTCAGTTGGTGTGACTGATTTGCCCACCCTGCCTCTTTCTGTAGTATCGTCTTCACATGGAAACTTGATTCATTAGGATCCTTTCAGACTTTAAATTGATTTTTTTGTTATACTTAAAATTGCAACTGATATGCACCTTACGCTCTTCGAAGAAATTGAAAAACGACTGACTTTTTCACAAAACGCACACATGCTGTTCGGATTTCTAGAATCGATGCGATTTTTATGCCAGTCCTCCATCGTTTTCTATTTCTGCCCTTTTTAGTCTCATACTTAAAGTCTGGATGCTCCGACTGAGTCTGCTGGCCAGTTTGACATGTAGGGGTGTGAATTTCCGCCTACTCACTTTTCGACCCCCACAACGCCTGGCTTTCCTTGCCCGCTATGCTTCTACCTCC